GTTTCTCCCCTTGTCATGCAGGAGGGAGCCCAGAGCCCCCAGGCTGCACACAGCTCAGACAGCACAAGGCAAAGTGCAGGTGTTCCTGCTTGAAAGGAATGCACTGACTCCCTCCAGTTCATGGAGTGACAATGTACCAGAACACACTGTCACATCCCTGAGAAAATCACAACACTAGAATGCAAGAAAACGTGGATGAATTCAACACAGATATACACACTTTGCTTAAAACACTAAGTACAGCAAAAACTTGTGCTGCCCAGAGCCAATGACAGCAAAGGCACTGACAGAAACACAGGGTTTGTACTACTGGAAGCAGCTCAAGGCAAAGCTGGGGCTGAGTTAGAGCCATCAAGGCTCGAGGAGACCTCTAAGATAATCAAATCCAACCATTAACCTGTCACTGCTGGAACCCCTAAACCAGATCCTCCAGTGTCAGATCCAGATGCCTCTCAAACACCTCCAGGGATGGTGACTCCACCACCTCCCTGGGCAATATCCCAGGGCCTCAACACCACAACAGGGAAAACATTTCTCCTCACATCCAATCTGACTCTGCCCTGGCTCAGCTCAAGGCCATTCCCTCTATCCTCTCCCTGCAGCCCTGGCAGGACACACATCCCACACCTCTCTCCAGCCCTGGCAGGGAGTTGCAGAGAGCCCTGAGGTCACCCCTGAGCCTCTTCTCCAGGCTAAATAAACCCAATTCCCTAATCATAGAATCACAGAATCAACCTGGTTGGAAAAGACCTCCAAGATCATCAAGTCCAACCCTACCGTGGTCACTAGACCATGGCACTAAGTGCCACATCCAGTCTCAGCTTGAAAACCTCCAGGGATGGTGAATCCACCACCTCCCTGGGCAGCACATTCCAATGCCTGAGCACTCTCTCTGTAAAAAATCTCTTCTTAATATCCAACCTAAACCTCTCCTGGCAGAACTTGAGTCTGTGCCCTCTTGTCCTACGGCTAGCAGAAGACATGAAGAAAATGTGAAAAAATTCTTACAAATGGACTTTAGAACAGGGTTACATTAAACACAAACAGAAGCTCCTGAAGCTTCTCCCTAGAGAACAGGTAGTGAGGAGCAACAAGCAGAGGCTCACATGAAGCAGCACTTGAGCAAAGGAGAGACAAAACTAGGAGCACACTGAAAACCCACAGAGGGAATTTTTCACACGTGAAGGCCTTCATTTGGTTCTCCAGAGAGAACAACACCAGGGTGGTGACCAGTAGCAGTGACAAAACCCAGGTGAAGTATCAAGCAGAAACTGCTGTAACAAAATTATTGTTTGAGATTGTTTCAGACACAGAGCAACTAGTCATCACCTGATTAGGATGCAACATATGTTCCGTCAGACAGCTACCACAGCCTGCAGCTCAGCTGCAGAGGGATAATAAGCTTCTGCTTGCTGTAGGCACTGTGTGTTCCTCCCGTTTGCTCCTCGTGGCAATTAACCTCCCTGTCATTAAAGAAATTGGGCTACAAGTGGAAGACAAACACAACTCATTTGCAACACTGAAGAAACAAGAGCCTTCTACATTCCTCTGTTCCTTCTAATGTGTTTTTACCTCTGAAGTTCTGTTAGATAGAGTGAAACTCATCAAACCTTCTCAATTATCATTTCCCAAAACTTCTCAGGCACAACTTGAGCAGGCACTTTCCTGTTCTACAACTCTGTCTCCTCGCAGTTTGCACTCCCACTGTAGCTTGTGACCTCTAGTTTGGGACTTGCCAGCCTAAATCCTGCTGCTGGAGATAAAGATTTGACTTGGCATATGCTCTCTAAAAAAAAAACCAAACTCAGAGGGTGTTTTCTGTGACAAAGCTTTGAACAACCCACAAACACCGAGGACAGAAGTTCTGCCCTGAGCATCTCAATGCACAGACAACCCAAAGCAGCAGCCAAGAAAATTCACCACTGGTTAAAGACCATCCAATTCAAACAAAGGTTTTGCCATCAGACCTCCAAAAACTGTCATGATTTGTTTCACAGGTGGAAAGCTGGGAACAAATTCAAACAGCATCTGAGCTACTCGAGGCCTGCATGAAGGCTGTGAGCTAGAGTCACCTGCTGCAGTTCTGAGGGTTGGGAATGCTAAAAACCAGTGATCTTCACCCAATTTAACAGCAGGACAGCCTGCCATATCCTAATGGGACTGTACTGGGTGTTTTAGTTACACAAGGAGAAGGTAGCATAGAATTTGCAGAACTCCCTGACTTCTGCCCATGTCTCTTAACCCCAGTGTGTATCTGTTTGGATCACTGCTCAGCTGCCCTTGCCTCCTGACTGCACACACACAGCTGCAACTTACTCCTTTGCTCTTGCCAAGGTGTTTTTTTCCCTATTTTTCTCCCAACCTGAATTTACAACCAAGTTCCTGTGCTGTAACACGTGTTCAGCACCTGGGATGCACCTTCTTTGCTGCAATGTGCCCGACCGGAGCAAGGTGACATTTTTCACTGCCAGAAAGAAGAATGAGGAGGTTTTGGCTGTACAGACAGTTAGAAAAGTTTGAGGTTTTCAAATCAAAGAGCTAAAGACACTTGCAAAGACTTCAGCTGTCTCTGCATAGATGGTGCAAAAGGAACCTGAGGTGAACAACACTCAGGGCACAGGTTTTTGTGACAGGATTTTCTGTGCTAAATCAAAATGTCAAGGACACGTTTCATGCTTGCAGACAGACAGCTGTAACACTGGTAATCGTTCAGGAATGGATGATAGGGGAGGTGTTTTGAATAATCACTGGCAAAAGGAGGGAAAAAATGCAGAAGACCTGGCCAGGTCCAGGTGTGGCCCTCACAGCTCCCAGCTGCTAACAGTGCTAAGGCTCACAGAGATTTTGGGCAGCTTTCAAAAAACAATCCATTAGCCACAACTGGCAGAAAAAAATACAGTTCTGAGACCTAATCACCTCAACAGAACAACCTGGTCCATGTGTGCTGCTGCCTTTGGAAGACCAGATCTTCCTGGGGCAGAGTGTGGTAACCTTTGCTCACTCATGTTGCCTATATTTGGATGCACAAAGTGCGTTAGTTCAGAACTTGCCAGGACTTGCAGAAGAGTTCCTTGGACTTCATCCCTGGGCTGGCTGGAGCCTCAGATGAAAGCTTGGAAGTAAAGGAAGGAGAGCAGTTAGGAGAGGAGACCTGCAGAACGGGACAGGCTGTCCAGCATCAGTTCCTAGAGACACAGATCCCTTCTCTCCTCTTCCCTCCCTGCATAAAACATGCAGTAAAGTGCACCAGGAATTACAGCTTACCCCTTGAACCAAAAAGTATCTTGGATATTTAGTGGCTTACTACAGCTGCAACTTCTGTGCTTAGTTTGAAGCACAATGTGATTGTCCTGGAATCATCAAGGTTGGAGGAGACCTCTAAGATCTAAGTCCAACCATGAGCTGTGACTCTGCTGTAGAATGTTCTTGTATTGTTCTCTGCATCCTTGTTGGAAAAAGGACATTCCAAGCCTTCCTCACCTCTCTCCTAGCAGTGATTCACATCAGTCCCTAGAGAGGAAAGGCAGTGTTACACACTGCAGTGTCCTGAGTGACGGAACACAAACCCCTTTGCAGCTCAGAGCCTCAGGGACACTCCCACTACCACCAGGAGAGCAGCAACACGAGCTCTGTCCTCACCCACCTCAAGACAAACTGTTTCTAGCACAGGCTGTTTCTCTGGATAAATATCTTCCAAAATTACACTGCTCAGCACAGAGAAGAACCAGCTGGGGAGGGGCAGAACAGCCTGAATCCCTCGGCAATACACACGCCGAGCTCGAGAAACTGGAGCAGTTATGGGATCCCAGAGTCAGTGAGGTTGGAAGGGACCACAATCTGCTCCAACCTCCCAGCTCCAGCAGGGCCAGCCCAGAGCACATGGCTCAGGGTTGCAGATGTTTCTGGAATACCTCCAGTGAGGAGAATCCACGACCTCTCTGTGTCCAGTGCTCAGTGACTGCACAGGGAAGAAGTTCTTCCTCATCTTCAGGTGCTGTTGTTGCATCTCTACAAACTCAGAAGGCTCCTAGCACAAGAAATAAAAACCTAACTTGTTAAAGCAATTTTATTTAAGTATTTGGAGGGAAACTTTCATATCATGAGTAAAAATACTAGAGTTGAACGTTGTTAAAAAAAAAAAAAGAGGTGAAGGTTCTGTGCTCTGTGTGCAAGCACAGGAGGGTGATGGAGAGGGGAAGAGAAGCTTTTCATAACATACTCCCTTTGAAAAAAAAAATTAAATGCTAGTTAACTGGAGTACATGTCATCATTTTTTTTTATACAGGCAAGAGAATGAAAAAAAAAAACAAACAAAAAACAAACCAAAATAAAAAGCAATTTAAAGAACGCGACCTACAATGGAATAAACTCCTTGGCAGCAGAGACAGAGTAAGACTGCTTTTATGAAAATTACAAAGAAACATGATACAACAAAAGTAGGGTCTGGGGGATTTTCCACTAAGATTAAAAATGAAAAAAATAAAAGAAGAATTCACTTTTTGAACACCATTATTATTCAAACACATAGGAAGTTCCAACCTAAAGTTGTTGGTTTGTTTTTTTTATACATGGGAAACACTGTTGATCTTCCAGAGTGAGAAGGCACCATGAAGTGTTGGTGGATACCTTTAATGCACACTCGAGAAAGAAGAAATGATCTGGCATGATGCAAATAAAAAAAAAAATCATGAAGTGTTTATATATATTCATATATCTTTTCATTAAAAAAAAAAGATTAAAAAAAAAAAAAAAAAGAGGCAACAAGTCATTACTTCAGTGCCAAAATGTACTTTTGCCTGGCTGACTGGGCCATGGAGGTGACTCCTCTCAGGCCCCTGTGGTGTTGCTGGACACTGGTGGGAGTGGGTGATTTTGCATTAATTGGTCAATCAAGTGTTTTCTAGGGTCTGAGAAGCCAATCCTAGGAAATACCCCTAAGCTGTAGCGAGTAGAGCAGTTGGATGCACTGTCTGGGCCATCCCATGGACTCGCTGCGAGATGTAATGTCTTGTAGCAGATGTTCTAACAAAAATAACTTTTGCTTTTCGCTTTACCTCACTGAGGCCATTAATGCTGTTCCTATCAGTTGGTTTTTCTGGAGTTGGATGACACTTTGCTGCTGTCCAAAATGAGTTTGAACCTTTAAACCCTCCAGAGTTTTGTTCACTTTGTTGCTTATATTATTGCACTAGCTACTAAAGTCTTATATCTTCCTATATAAATCTAATTGTTCAGAGTGCAGATTCTATATTTAGATAATGAATTGGATGAAATAAATAAAATAAGGGGATTTTCTGGTCAGAGTTGCTGATATGTTGAACACCTTAATTATTTCTAAAGTAAACAGTTTTGGTGTATATCCTTGAAAACCTATGGTCATTCAGCATAAAAGCCTTGACGTAATACTTTAAAGAATGGATTTGTTTTTCCTTCTCAAAAAAAAAAAAGAAAAAAAAAGAAAATGCATCAAAGAATCGTTTTAAATACAGAATCTGTGAGGCTTCCTACAAATTCAGCTAAATCGTCATACAAACACAGTTTGTAATTCAGATAATATAGAAAGTTCTCTAGTGTCCATTGAAGTAAGGTCCCCAAAATGAGTCTGTTTTGCTGCTGAACGGCAGAACATTAAGCGGTTCCACTGGCTGAGTAGGAGAACTGAGGAAAATGAGGTCTTCTCTCGTTATCTACACAATCCATGCTGTCATCTGAAGGGGGAGAAGAGGCATTAGACAACATATGCCTTGATTTATCAGGAGACAAACAACGAGATAATGCACAGTAAAGAGAATTTCAGTGTTGCCTTTTCCTTCCACAACTCGAAGGACAAAGGATCAGAAAGTCCTAAGTCATAGCAACTGTTCAATATCTGAAGCGGCTACAAGGAGCTGCAGAGGGATCTGTGTTAGGAACTGCAGGGACAGGACAAGAGGCAATGGGTTCAGACTGAAGGAGGGGAAGTTTGGGTTAGATATTAGAGAAATGTTCCTGTGAGGGTGGTGAGACCCTGTCCCAGGTTGCCCAGGGAGGCTGTGGCTGCCCCAACCCTGGCAGTGTTCACAGCCAGGTTGGCTGAGCCTTGAGCAACCTGCTCTGGTGGGAGGTGTCCCTTAAATTCTATGGTTCTATGATTCTAAGTCTCCCTCCACTCAACAGGCATCACACAAGATCCTGACTGGTGTATCATAGAATTTTAGGGGTTGGAATGGACCTTAGAGATGATCCAGCCCCAACCCCTGCCCTGGGCAGGGACACCTCCCACCAGAGCAGGTTGCTCAAGGCTCAGCCAACCTGGCTGTGAACACTGCCAGGGTTGGGGCAGCCACAGCCTCCCTGGGCAACCTGGGACAGGGTCTCACCACCCTCACAGGGAAAACTTCTGACTAACATCTAACCTAAATTTCCCTCCTTCAATTTGTGCATATTGCCCCTTGTCCTGTCCCTGCAGCTCCTAACACGAAGTCTCTCTGCAGCTCCCCTGGAGGTTCAGATACCCATTTAAAATTGCTATGAGCTGCAGAGCTTAAATCCATATTGACTGTTCTGAACTTCTGGCAAATGCTACTTCAGAGCATCAAACATCCTTGGTCACCACAAGAATAAAGCATATTTGGATTGAATATGGACATCAGTCCATGCTCAGTTGGCTGTTTGCATCCACACAGTGTGTGTGGGTATGGACATGTGCAAAACTCCTTAGCAGAACTTATTCCCAGTGGGAATGTGCAGATTTGGGAAAGGCAACAGTACAAATCATTTCACTGTCTTATAAAACAGGTTTTTCACTTCTCAAACTGGAAAAACATGTGCAAAGTTTTGCATCAATTTACCAACTTCTTGGTCAGATACATCTGGAAAACCAGAAAGTTTAAGCTGGAGAGACCAAGTAACATAACAGCAAAATGTTCCTGGTGGTCTGGAGAACAGAGTGGGAAGCATCTGGGAAAACGTTACCTTGGTCAGGAGGAGTGATTGTTATCATCTGTGCTGTAAATTCTTCATCAAAGTATCTTGTATCTGTTTCAGATGTAACTTGTGGCTTAAACAGAGGTACAAGCTGGGAAAAGCAAAAGAAATACAGCGTCCATTTACAGGTTCTTGCAGTGCTGTTTTAATAGCATTTGAGAGAGTTATAAGCTACAGTGTCCTTTCCTACATCCCTAAAATATCTCATTCCCAAAATTACCACAAAGAAGGAAGCATATATAGCAAAAAGAATTTCTTTAGGTATGCCCTTCCTATTTATGGGGCATTTAAGGCTTTTTTTTAACTAGGATTTAAATGGCACACAGAAGAAGTTAGAAGCCTAAAATTTCTCCAAGCAGTAATAAGCTTAAGAGTATTTGGAAATAATAGTGTGCACTGGTTCCCCACCTAGTTAGATGGAAAGTGACAACTGGAACTGGTTAGATTTATGCTTAAGGAGGAAAAGGATGAGAAAGATGCTCAGTGATACCAAACAGAGCAGTTAACCTTGTGAAACACCACCAAGAAAACTCAGCTACAGAGCTACCATGTCATAGAATCATCAAGGTTGGAGGAGACCTCTAAGATCATTGAGTCCAACCATTAACCTGTCACTGCTGGAACCCTTAGACCCTAAATGAGATCCTCCAGTGCCACATCAGACACCTCTTACACACCTCCAGGGATGGTGACTCCACCACCTCCCTGGGCAATATCCCAGTGCCTCAACACCACAACAGGGAAAACATTTCTCCTCATATCCAATCTGACTCTGCTCTGGCTCAGCTCAAGGCCATTCCCTCTGGTCCTCAATGGCCTTTGGGCAGTGAGTGCCCAAAGCTGAGCACAGCACTGAGCTGGGACCTCCCCAGTGCCCAGTCCAGGGGGATGACACTGCCCTAGTCCTGCTGCCACACTCTGCTGGAGCCAGGACAAGATGCCCTTGGCCTCCTGTGCACACTGCTGGTTCATATTTAGCTGCTGTCCAAACCAAGAGAATTCAGGCCAAAGCAGCAGCAACATTAACTTTTTCTACTCTCAGCTCCCAAAAAGAGTTTGATGTCAACTCTGAAGCCACAAAAACTGGAGAAGTTACAAAAACCCCAGCCCAGTTAGACAGGAACATCCTCCCTCTTGTTCCACCAGGAGTTGTTGCACTCTTCGGGGTTTATTCTCCAGACTCACTCGGGCAGACAGGCTGGAAATCATCCATGTGTACCTAGGCAAGCTCTGGCAAGAGCAGCTCCAGATGGAGCAGAGCTGCCTAGCTGAGGTGGAGGAGGAGCGCTGGGAAACAGGATGTGGTGCTGGTGCCTGCAGATGCACACAGTTGGAACAGGGACAATCTTGGAGGGCAATGGCACTGGGATTCAGACCTTCCTCTGCACTGGGAGGCAGAACCAGTATGGACACGCAGTTGTGAGCCCTCCCACAGAGGCCCTGGAGTGGCGCTGGGCTCCAGTTTGCCACCGCTGGGGTCACACGTGGGCATCTTTTAATAGCACAGAGCCACACCAGGCAGCAATTCCAGAGCGTGCTGGGGGAAGGATGAGGCTTCCAAACTGAAACGGCAGGCAAAGGTTTATCAAGGCCAGTGGTAAATTGCTCCAACTGGAATTAGGCAGTGACCCCAGGACTGGCACAAGAATGACACGGACAGAAATCACTGCCTGGAAAACATCAGCAGATCTTCAATGGACAACACATCTCTACCCCCACCCCCAACTTCTCCTCCTGCTTGGATGTGAAGAATCATTTGCTTGGCAAGTTGGTAAATTAGAAAAGCACTAGTTTCAAATTCCCTATCCCCAGGATCATCTTTCTCATCGCTTTTGAGGGCACCTAACAGTGTTCCTGCCTTGCAAACAGAAATCAAGTGAAGCTCCTTCATTTTCAATGCAGAGACTTGAAGAAATATAATCTACACATATGGCAGCACTTCCCAATACAAAGAAACATTTGCTGCTAAAAAAAATAAATCAATCTTTTAAAATTAAGAGACACCAAAATTCTACAGAGGAGACACAATATAGGATATAATAAATGGGATACAATTATAATGTACATTCGTCATCTTTCTTTTTTTAATTACTGGTGACCCTAAGGATGGCTTAGGGGAGCCAGGCAAATGATTCTGGCAAAAATATTAGGCCCTTGGAAGTTGCCTTTATGCCCTGAATTTAAAAAGGAGAAGGAAACAGGATACCCCAAAGTGAGGACTCGCTCTGAGCCTTAAGGTCCTCCTGAAGAGGGAATGCTTCACATCACAACGCTAGTAACACTATTCTCAATCAAGCCACCCCAACATATTATATACAAAAGCCTTGTTGAGGGTGGGGATTCTCCCTCTCCCTTTTAACTCTGTTCTCTCTCCCCCTTAAAGCAGCTCCTGCCTGCTCCTCAGAGCCAACCTGGGGCTGTTTCTGACAGGCTGTGCATGCACACGTGTGTGAAGTTCTCGCTGTCCTTTTAAGCTCCTGATGGTTTTGGCACTCCCAGTGCCCCAAGTTGCCCAGCTTGCTGTGCACAGCACTGAGGGAGTGATTTAGCACTTGGGCACTGCAGCAGACACCTGAACCATGCACATCAGAGCAGCAATCCCCAGCCAGGCCACATGTGGAATGGGCTAGCACTGCCTGTATCGTTTTCCTTTTTATTTTTAGTCTCTGTTCAAAGCAATTTGAGACAGACCATGATGCACCCAGGAGACATTTCTTTTTCCCCCTAGCTGTCAGATTCCAAACGTTCAGCTGGAAACAGAGGGAAGCCACAGAAAGCTCCAACATTGCCTTTACCAAGCAAATATGTCACTTCACTGAAAATCTGTCACTGCAGCAGCTCTGCAGTTCAGCTGGCAGAGACGTGCCACCTGTAGCTTCCCACGGCTGCAGACCAGCGTGATACCCACAGGCTTATGCTGGTTGAAGAGAGAAAAAAGGAGCAAAAAAGAACTACATGTGATTAAAACCTCCCTGCATGTGTTTCACTTGTGGGTGGGCAAAATACTGCAAATTAAATCACACCTCTCCCTGCACCAGAGACAGACAGAACTCTGCCAGGAAAGCCTAATGAGTATCGTACATTTTGGGGACAAGTCTAGTTACTCAAAACTCCTTGTAATTTAAAGTTGTGTTTCCAAAAAGCTTAATTACAAAGCAAAGTGTTCTTGACTGCCCAAGCCCAGAGTCATAGCCACACTCAGCAGTGTTGGAGGTGGTGTGGATCCAAGCTTAGCTCACAGACACCTTCAGCAGCTGACAACATCCAGCTCTGCTCCGGGAGGCTGTACGTCAGGTAAATGCTGCAAGATCCTCTTTGGACCACCCAGAACAGAGTCAGCAGTTACTCAGGGGATTTTTTATACCTCCTTCAGATGCACATGCCTACAGCACATGAGCAAAACCAAGGTCTAACCTCCCTGGCTAGGCCAAGGTCAGGAATAGTCTCAATCAGCACAGCAGTTTTGTCCAAAAGATGTGGCATTTCTCCTCATACTTTCCACAGCAAAATGAATCACAACTTCTATGGGACCATAGATTGGCCAGGGAGGTGGTGGAGTCACCATCCCTGGAGGTGTTTCAGAGGTGTCTGGATGTGGCACTGGAGGATCTGGTTTAGGGGTTGGGGGTTCCAGCAGTGACAGGTTAACAGTTGGACTGGATGATCTTAGATTCTCCTCCCATCTTGTGGATTCTGTGATTCTAAGACAATTTCTGAAGGCTTTCTCAGTCCTATGGATAAATTGCCTCCAGTTTGTGTGATTTCTCTTCCATTCAGGGAACCAGAACTACCACCAAATAATGAGTAACTTCACTCAAGACATTCAAATCCCATTTTCAGCTTTTTACCTTAACCAAACAGCTAAGCCTCAAGTACTCAACTTGTCATCTGGAAGGGTGAAAATGAGGACAACTTCCTGTTTAGAACAGTCAGTCAGAGATACTTTTTACACTGTCCTGAATAAACTCCAAACAACTCCCTCCTGCCCACATCTCCCTCAAGGGATGCTTTGAAAGGGCTGAGGTCTAAACTCTTATACTTTCAAGGCACAAAAATGTTATGATTTTTCAGTTCTCTTTAGCTACACAGACCTGTGAGGAAGTGAAAGAAGAGAAGGAAGCAAAGCACTCTCTGTATACAGGCACTAGACAATTCTCCCACTGCTCTATGGGAACTCAGTTCCTGCTAAGTTTCTTACCTGTTCCCACCAACTAGAGGGAGAACTAAACAGTTCTTAGAACTCAAACAGGATCTGATACCTCAAAGGGCTAAGGGGGAAGGAAGAAATTGGGAAAGGCTGGGATTGAGTGAGATCATGTGTATCCCAGTAGATGGGAGCCTTGAATCACCAGACCTGCACCTTAGTTGGCTGCATTTGACAAAAGTGTTATGAAAATGTGCCTGGTGAGAATCAAATGGGAAAGGACAACAGCAGGTCACCCTGAGAGCACAGAGGAGGGAGTCTTGGAGGAGTGGAATGGTTAGTTGTGAATGAAGAGACTGTGAGGCATAGGCAAGTCATGGAACACACACCTATGCAAAGGGCTTTAGCAGCTCCCATGGGAAAGCCTACAAACTCAGTGGGGCTCAAGGAAAACCAATGAGAAACACCATGAAGTGCAAACGCTTCATATCAACCCTTTCTCACACTCACAAAAATATCAGGCTTGGATGGATCACAGAACCACCAAGGTTGGAGGAGACCTCTAAGATCATCAAGTCCAACCATTAACCTGTCACTGCTGGAACCCTTAGACCCTAAATGAGATCCTCCAGTGCCACATCAGACACCTCTTACACACCTCCAGGGATGGTGACTCCACCACCTCCCTGGGCAATATCCCAGGGCCTCAACACCACAACAGGGAAAACATTTCTCCTCACAGCCAATCTGACTCTGCCCTGGCTCAGCTCAAGGCCATTCCCTCTATCCTCTCCCTGCAGCCCTGGCAGGACACACATCCCACACCTCTCTCCAGCCCTGGCAGGAGTTGGAGAGAGCCAGGAGGTCACCCCTGAGCCTCTTCTCCAGGCTGAACAAATCCAACTTCCTCAGCCCTTCCTCATACCACATGTTTTCCAGACCTTTTCTGAGCCTACTGATGTCAAAGCCTACACTTGCTTGAATTTGTATCGAATGCTGAAATTAGAAATTAGACTGAAAAGAGAAGAAAAATGCAATGGGAAGAAACTCATCTTCCACTAGTGCTTCTAGGAAGTTTCCTTCAGATGCTCAGGAGCCAACAATAACTCCTGAGCTCACAAGAGTTATGTCAGTTGAGAGCAAGAAATGACAACGAGAATTCACAGGAAAAGCCATTTTAAAAGCGTCTAAACTGTCTAAATTTGGCAGCAATTTTGCTTACATCCTATTTATTTAGCCCCAAACCTATATGTCTTATTGAGACTCCTGCTACTGCAAACTAAAAATCCAGAGGTAATCCAATTACAGCATTTTAAGAAAGACGAAGCGATTTAGCCTTGTTAAAAACAACTGCAAAGCTTTTGTGTGGAGGGTTTGTGTGTACCTTACAGAGGGCAACAACACTGGAAACATTCAGTATATCCACAGCTACAATTCACCTTGGGAGAACAGTTGTATAAATACCTTTTTCTCGTATACATCTTGCCAAACAATGCCAGCAAAGAATTTGTGCTGCATAATCTCCTTGGCATCATCAGGACCACCACCTAACCTGTAGGAGAGCAAAATAAGTCATTAAATGTTTGAGTACAGTGATTGTTCTCATACAACTTTTATGACAGGGTGGTGAAGGAATTCTGAGTTTATATAAAATGTTAGGGAATAGCTCTAGCATTTTCCATGTGTTTTGGGGGGTTTGTGCAAGGTCTATTTTAGGCTTTAGTTGCACTGAAAGATTTAAAAATATGCTAACAAACAGAATGAGGAAAAAAAAAAGTCTCACTCAGACCAACCAACCAAGGAAAAAAGAATAAACGCAACTCAAATCTTGGGCTGCATCAAAAGAGTGTGGGCAGCAGGTCAATAGAGGTGATTCTTCCTCCTCTACTCTGCTCTGCTGAGACCCACCTGGAATACTGCACACAGTTCTGGTGTCCTCAGTGTAAGAAGGACGTGGAACTGTTGGAGCAAGACCAGAGGAGGCCACAAAGTTGCTAAGAGCACTGGACCATCTCCCCTGTGAGGACAGGCTGAGGGAGTTGGGGCTGTTGAGCCTGGAGAAGAGAAGGTTGTGTGGAAACCTCAGAGCACCTTCCAGGAGCTGAAGGGGCTCCAGGGAAGCTGCAGAGGGATCTGTGTTAGGAGCTGCAGGGACAGGACAAGGGGCAATGGGCACAAATTGAAGGAGGCAAAGTTTAGGTTAGATATTAGAAATTAGAGATTAGTGTTCACAGCCAGGTTGGCTGAGCCTTGAGCAACCTGCTCTGGTGGGAGGTGTCCCTGCCCAGGGTAGGGGTTGGGGCTGGAAGATCTCTAAGGTCCACCCCAATCCTTAAATTCTATGATATGACCTGTCCTCAAGGAAAGATGCTGCCCTAGGGACCTCAGCAGACCTTGCAAGTACCAGGGCTGAGCCACACATCCTTCTCTGAATTAACAAGTGCCTACCCCTTACAATTTTCCAGAGCAGAGTGATGCCAGCAGTAAAACCCAATCTGAAGTGGGAGAGAGACAATGATTTTTAAGGCAAACTGATTTATGCAACCTGATTTGAATTTCCATTAAAGAAAACAGTTGACAACTGCAGTGATAATATCACGTCGTATGCAAATCTCTCCTCCTCCTTGGCTTCAGGAAAGCACAAAGGGTGTTTTATTGACTTGAGGTATATCAAGATAAAGCACTTTTATTCCAAAATAAAACTGTCCACACAGCTTATAGATGCAATCAGTTTAGTTGCCTTCTTGAGCTAACAGATGCTTAAATTTTGCTGTGGAGGTTAAAACGTTCTCTAAAAGGCTGAACCACATCTGCAAGCAAAGGCAGCACTGAGAAACAAAACGAGATCCTGGGTGATGTGCAGGAAGCTCCTGCAGGTAACAAGGTGAAGATGATGCTCAGGATTTCAAGTACAAGAGGTGATATCATGTTCACCCAGGCTGAACTCTCTAAGGGTGGTGAGACCCTGGCCCAGGTTGCCCAGGGAGGCTGTGGCTGCCCCAACCCTGACAGTGTTCACAGCCAGGTTGGCTGAGCCTTGAGCAACCTGCTCTGGTGGGAGGTGTCCCTGCCCAGGGCAGGGGTTGGGGCTGGATCATCTCTAAGCTCCATTCCAACCCCTAAATTCTATGATGTGCCTGTGCTCTGCTGCCTGGTGCCACCAGCAAACTGACACACAGCACGTCCCACAGCTTTGGAGCAGCCTGGAACAGAAACAAACTCCAGGGCAGCCTGGGAACAGAAACAAACTCTGCGAGTAATCATCTCTCACTGCTTTCCCCCAGGTCTAGCAGCTTTGCCAAGTCTCTCTCAGACTCCTTGTTGCTTCCCCAATGCAGATTATGTCCAGTGAAGAGGGTGGAGTTGATTCTCTTTATCCACAGATGCCAACAGGGTGCACAGAAGCTCACAAGTGACCATGACTAGGCAGCAGTTTCTCAGGAGCAGGCAGGGAGAGGCTGCCTGGACAAGTGCTCTGCAGAATGTATTATCTAATACAAGCCTTTGTTCCATGAAGGGCAAACACATACTCAGGGAAATGCCAAGAAAAACTCCAGATGTTTTACTTACCTTTTCAAAATTTCCACTGTTAAACAAACCCGTTCAATGGGGAAATGATAGAAACCTCCTAGTCTGGGTATGGATTTTATCCAAAACTCACTCCTGTTTTGCAGAATTAGTAGGAAAGGATCCTCTCAAAGAGAACAAAATTCAATTGGCAACCAACACAACAAACCATGGTTAAGCAGCACTGAGGACTGGAAGAACAGCACGTTTGTCTTTCTTAGGCATGTGCAATAAACAAAGACAAATCCAGCAG